CCCCTCCAGCACCCACCAGCCAGGTCACCCGGCCAGGCTGGGCCGGGGAGGCCGCCGCGAGCAGTCAGGCTGCACAGAGGCTCGGGTGGAGACCGACCCGACAGACCCTTGAGGTTACAGGCAGAAAAACAGCCCATTTGGGGCTGAGTTTAATTTTTTATTTTTAACAGCGTGTACTTCCTTTTCCTGTTGCTAATAAAGCGGGGTGAGGGTTGGTGTCCCTCGAGTGCCTGCAGTTCTTAAGCTTCTAGCTCTGGGCTCCAGACTGCCTTGTGCCACCATCACTGCGGTAAGTCCCACACTGCTGACCCTCAGTCACTAGTGGGGCACAACTCCATGGTGCAGAACAGCTCGAAACTCTTTATTTAGACTTCCTCTTGCAATGCCTTCTGTTCAGCTAAAATGGAGCCTTGCGAGGAATTAAAAAAAAAAAAAATTATAAAATAAAGGCAAAAGAAAGATACATACTAAGAAGCAAGTGCTCAGAACTAAAGATAGTCTGACCAGGGTGGATCATTTGTGTCAGGGAGAGATTTAGCAGCTTGGTGGAAGTGAAATCAGAGTGATAAAAGAAACAGAGGGGTGGAAAATCTTTTCAGTTTAACAGGTGAATAACCAAAATACTCATAACGACCCCAGAGGTGCATATCATAGCCTACTATGGTAGGCTGCAGAAAAATACGGCATATTCAGATGGAAATTGTAGTTGTATATGCTTCACTGATTGTTGCATAAGGTAAAATGGCAGATATTTAGATTTCAGCTGAGTTCTGCATATGTCTTGGGAAGGAGTTTTTTTAGGCAAAAGGCATAAGATCTCACTGCCCTAATAATAGGAAAATGTGTGGAAGCGCAGCGCAGCTTGGCAGAGCGGCTGGCTTCGGCAGCAGGCAGGGCTTTCCAGCGCTTTCACTTCGTTTTCTGCGGTACAAGGTGCTATGGTGCACTTCGGGGGTCACCAGCATGTTCAGAACCGAAACCAGACGTAAGCACTGTTAGCACCTACTAGAAACTGGAGTTCACCAAAATCTGAATTCTGCAGCTGTTTGTGTTTTTCATTGCCCGGTGTTCATTCTGTAAGTATTGCTTGGCCTTTTCCTCGAACCCACAACTTACACTTTCCAAAAAAAGAGTAAGTTTTTTGTAATTCCTTCAAATATTTGTAGAGGAATCCTTAGATTCCCTCATCTTTCCGATGGGAATCTGTCCCAGACGTTGTTTTACTGAACCATCACACGAGGACCATCTAGTAATGGCATGCTCAGGCACGGGCTGGGAGGAGCAGGGGCAGCGTGGGAGCTCTGCGGCGCGCTTCAGCAGGCTCCCACGCGAGAGCCACGCCTGCTCCTCGCGCACCGCAGAGGGTGCGGGAAGAAAATGGGATATCTGGAAAGACCCAGCCAAGCAAAAAGGGAATGATTTTTTGCCTTGTGGCACAGTGGCTCCATGAACATATCTGCTGATTACCCCCTCTTCTGGGCAGGCATCTCCTGTTTTCGCACGTGACCTCGTGCTCTAGTCGTTCACCTGAAACTACCCTCAATGGTTAGCACCATGTTTATATTTACATCTCTGTGCCATAAACCCTAAAGGACTATAACATTACAAGAAATATTTGCCACACCGTTGGCAGCAGTAACTGAGCGAAGAATTGCCAAGTGGGAAATCCAAATTTGCAAACTCAGTATTCTGGGCTGTGCGCCAAGACTGTCTGGGCGCTGCGGAGGTGACACGTTCAGTCTCCTCACAGGGATGCCAATGTGCCAACTGCATCCCTGGCACAGCATCTTCTCCTGACAAACTTACGGAGAAGAACTGCTACCAAGTCCAGAGGGAGATGCAAGCTGCTTTCTGAGCTTCCTTGGCAGCAACTCCATTTTCAAGTTGTGACTGTACTGTCTCCTATTTACAAGAACAGTTGTTTGTGATACACTATGGTCCCCGGAAGGATTTTGAAAAGTGCAAAAATGACAGCGGGACGTTGGTTTCCAAGTATGAACTAGTAAAATCCAGAGTAATTTCATTTCCCTGAGAAAAAAATAATACAGATACTCACTTACAGCAGCCCAGATATCAGATGTTGCTGCCAGTGTGGGAGAATCCAAATCCGTTTGTTAGCTGCCAAGTGAAAGGCACGATCCTTAGAATATGAAGTCTGTAGGGCTGATCGCTGAAGTTTCTCCTTTTCAAATCATGCTTTGTACATATTGTCTTACAGCTAAACTTCTTTTCTGTCTGTCAGTAATTTTTCAAAGCAAAAGAAAAACCCTCCAGTCTTCCACAGGGCTGCATGACCTATAACTTGCAAAATCCATTAGAAGACAGCCTTTTAGTAACCAAATTGTGTCATTTACAATTGCACAGCAGCCAGAAAGAGCACCATAAATTACAGTTCTGTCATTATAAGGGACAACGGAAAGGTGTGGGCAGGCTACCACTATAAAGTAGGAAGCCTAGGAGAGTGATAGAATTTAATTTGATTTTTTTTTTTGCCGTATTTACTCCATATAATAACAAAATTGCTACTTACAGGTTAATTATTTTTTTGGTTGTATACAAAAGACTTAATAAGGCTATAGAAGATTGTTTATTTTTAAAATATAGCAGAATAAAAATGCTAAATTCAAAACTTTTGTTGTTTTTTTTTCTTCTTTATAGATGAAGTAAATAATCATAATTCAGAAATAGGGTTCTTCTTGATATTCATTTGAAAAAGTATGTACTGTTGAGGCTTGAGCAATGAATGGTGCCTGGGAAACTGGTGAAATAATGTCATCATGGAGAGAAGAGCAAAGACTGTCACGCAGATGCTGCGGTTTTATGTGGTTACTCTTTCTCTTTAATGAACGGTTAATTATTCGGAGGAAGGTTGTCTTGTTAAAAATTTTCAACATTCATTTTTTCCCTAAAGTATAAAAACTAGCAACCGGCA